TTTCAAAAATTTTTTGTTTCGAAATCTGTTTGGGTGACATAGTTATCACTATGTCAATCTACCCAAGATTCCATGAGACAATTTCGATTTTTATGCACGAACATCATCTGGTTCCAATTCTACAAGGGGTTTCGAAAAGTTAGTCTGATTGTTGCAATCATTTTATTCTCGAAATGTGTATGTGTGACAAGAAAACGGTTTTCACTGTGTTGATCTACCCACGATTCTATGAAAGTTGTGTGATTTTTATGAACGCACATCATCTGGTTCCAATTGTATAAGGAATCTCAAAAAATTAGTCTGATTGTTTCAACAATTTCTTTTTCGAAATTTGTTTAGATGACAAGAAAACCGTTATCACCAAGTTAATCTACTCAAGAAACTATGAGAGTTGTGTGATTTTGATGAACGCACATCATCGGGTATCATTTCTACATGGGGTATTGGAAAGTGAGTCTGATCTTTGCAATATTATTCTTCCCTAAATCTGTATTGTTGATAAGAAAACGATTATCATCGCGCCAATCTACTCAAGATTCTATAAAAAAGTTATACACCAAATAATCTTAATAATTTCACGTTCAACCTATAGTGAATAGGTATTTCCAGCCACATATATTAGTACGGGTGCTAATAATTTCGTATCCCAAACACAGATTTTTAATTTCCTCTACGTCAGCATGTGTGGCCAGAAATCTGTGGATAACTTCACGCCAATGCAGTGGACACAATTTGAGAACCGCACGTTTCACTCCATCCTCAGTAGTTTCAATATTTAAATCAATGTAGAACTGAAAATTCGATATTGTTAGGGCCATTTGTTTTCCACATTATCCGTTGTTGAAGACTGGATAAATAATAACCAACTGAGAAGCTGAGGGCTCAATCGATTTAAATTCAGGTTTCGAAGATCAGGTTATGGTATTATCGTAAGTGAGTCACCAATAGGGCAATGACCAGGAGTTGAAGGACAAAGGTCATTAGGATTATCGAATATAGTAGTCATTAGACGAAAATCCGAGCAAGACTCTACTTTAGTTATGACGGTTTCTAATTCTTCGTAAGTAAAATCCGATTACCAATGACAAGCTTAATGTGGAATATTATTTACTCGCACAAGCATTCGAAATATAAGAATCTTGCGTGTATAAAATTTCAGTTGATTGATTCTTGCGAAAGATAATTTGATACTTCACAATCATATAAGGATTACCAAGAAATTCAGCAATGGCTTGTATTTTATTTGCTGTCCCAATGAAATCACTACCATTATCACTATAGATATCAGAGTCTTGCTAAAAATCTTTTGAGACAATTTGAAAACTATAAAGTGGTCAAGTTAGATACAATCTTACAGCTTGTGCAATGAAAGTCTCAGCAAATCTGTGGTTTTAGAGCTCACTTGTTTTGATATTAAATGTTTCAGCAAGTGTTGAGAAAAAACAGTTCACTGAAGTTATGTAATAGATTATAATAATGTCATATCCTGATATCCTGATTGAATTATGATTGTACGAGTTTGTCTAGATACACGAGAACGTTATTGAGTTCACTAAACTTAAAGGTTTCTACAACTTAATTTATTTTCTGAGTAGTGTGCTGATGACGTTTCTAAACCTCCCCACACTCTATAAGTATAAGTAAAATTTCACCTCTCTCTTATACTATATCGTGTAGCAATTCTGTAAATGATATCTGATTCAATTTCATAACGAATCTTTGAAGTATAAACTGAATTGGAAACAATGTTTTCGTATATTCCAAAGTTAATATAAAAGTAGTTGTTTCGAAAGTATTTTTTCTTTCGTCTAATTATGTTTATGAGCAAGTAGTTGTTTCGAGACGGCTTTTTCTTCCAGTTTATGTGTATAAGTTAATTCTTTGAATGATCTACACAGTTTTTTTAATAGTTTATTCAGAAATTAATTGCTTTCTTGTTTTCCTTGGAAGATTTCTACATTTTTTGTATAAAGATGAGGAAGTAGAAAGCCAAAACCTTTCTTTCCAAAATATTAGTCTCTACTAAAATATAGGTACGCCTCTCAATTACAACAAGACTTCTATGACGGGAATTAAAGCAAATAAACGAATGAATATCATCATGTCATCGATGACATGAGTAGATTCAAGTCATTCATGACATGAAGTCATAATTTTAAAAATAAATTGAATGTTTCATCTTGTTATGTTATCCAAATTGGTGTTGGAGAGGCAATATCACATGTTTTCAGAAATCATAGAAATGGAAACGGAACTGTTTTAAGCATTGATTTTCAAATTGAAAGAAGTCATATAAACGAGAGTGATTTACAAGAAGTGCCAGCACCCACAAATAAATAAAAAGATTCAAATTTCTCCAGAGTTGAAATGGAAAAATTAGGTGTGCGGTTGCTGATGGCGAACATGTATGTCATGTAATGTATTCAGATAATAATTGAAATTTTTGGGAAAGAAAGTTTTTGGAGTAGTAGAAAGTCAAAAACTTTCTTTCCCAAAAAATTTGTCACTTCTAAAAATATAACCCTCTTTATTTAAAAAATAATTAAATGTTTTGCGAATTTGTAGAACTTTATATTCTAGGGTTGTGTAATATTCGTCATGAGCTTCAAAAGAATGTGTCACATGACTCCTCTTTCTATTTAATTTGTTCCCAGGTGGTTGGTGGCAGTCGCCATCTGTAAATTTTCATCTGTCAATTTCACTCCAAAATATAGTGTCATGCATCAATTTCATTATCCCAAGTTTCAAATTTTTGAGTTGTCCCGTTCAAAACATGAAAAGGGGAGGAAGGGGAGGAACATTACAGAAAACCACTATGTGTTTACTTAGTATTTTTACTTAGTAGTTCTCACAAAAGAAATTTCTAACACAACTTTATTGACAAAACTATTGTTGTAATAGAAAAAAAGTTTATGGTCAATTAATATTCTATGGTAAAAAAACTTCAATCCGTCACGTTTCTACTGATTATCCTGTATATTGAAGAATATTATTGAAAGCTCAATGCAGTGACATCTAGAATTTTCATACGAAACAACTTTTGATAACTTCACTTCTTCATCTCAAACTACTAATAAAAGCTCACACTGTACATTCATACCCTTCAACTACTTATTCATCATCCCTTATAACATCCTAAAAGTATTTCTCTACATTACTCTTCAAAAAAGTAAAGTTCTATTTCAATACATACATATTATTTTTCGTATGTTTAGTCATGAGAAAACCTATTTATTTTTTCATTATGGTAATGCAAAAGAAAATGAAATCATTTGTTTTTGTGGAAAGAGAGAACATCGATTTACAAGAATATGGAATATTTATGGAAGCTCTAAAAGTTGCGTTTTCATTATATTTCATTCTTAATTTGAAATATCCTTCAAAACTTCAAGCAACCTTAGAACTCCTTCAGAGTTCAAATAAAAATGTTTTGAATTATATGTTAAAATTAAATGATCATTGTGAAGATTTAGAAACTATGTCTTTCTGAAAAGCAATTAATTATTGTAAAATTATCGTCTTTATGTTCCAAGTAAATGAAAAAAAATTATAATTTGAGGAACTCGAACTTAGAATCCAAATTTATACTCAATTCAAAATGTAATATGAGCTTTGATAATATATAATTGTTAGTATCCAAATTTAACTTTTAGTGGTTTTCCAAGCATCATTTATAAATGGAATTGAAATCTCCCATGATACTTAAAAATGATAATTGAATGGCTAGTTGCTATTAACACTAGAATCGTGTCACCTTCCGTTAACAATCTTGAAAATTGATTTTTATAGTTAAACCTATTCATTAGTACGTTAGTTACAATTTTTTTGTTGCGAATTCCTATTAGATATGTCAACAATTATTTTAGTTGGCTAGAGAATATCCGAATATGCCCTCCATTAAATTTTCAAAGTGATCCGTTGTCTGGTTCACCAGAAACGTCTAATGTGCCATCTACCGTGAATCAGCCTGTATAATAGAAATCAACAGAGGAATTCGGGATTTCGCATGGTTAAGATACAGTTCCCGTATTGTATTAATACTCATATTCTGAAAAAATAATCCATTTCGAGTAATGTACAATTATATGAAGGCTACAGTAAGAATACAGATTTGATGGTAAAACGATGCTATCGTTACTGAAAATTTCCTCTATATATATTGTTTATAATAACCTTATTTTTCATGTAATTTTAAATTACAATTTTTTTTTACTGTGAAATTTTACTAAATGAATTGTGTGACTTTTACACTTTCTATACTGGAAAAAAATACGTGATTAGTATCGTTATATGATTACACAATAGATTGTGGTAATAAATTGCCAACGATAAATAGTTTAATTATTTTCATCAGTGAATAAGGCTAGTGGCGGACATTGGATGTCCGCCATTGAGGATGAAGGTGTCCCGTGTAGACAAATCCTGTTCTTTAGGCTTTTTAAAATATATACTTGATGATTTGAGAAATTCAAAAAACTGATCAAGTGTTGATAGTTCTGAAGAACACTGTACTCCTCCTCCGATTTGAAATAATATAAATAATCCATGAATCAAATAAAATTTTTTTGGAAACATCCAACTTTGCAAATAAGATATATCATTTGAAACAATTTCTAGCATTTCACTATATAAACCTGAATTCTGTCTGATAATCGTGAGAGTTTTAAATATAGATTCGAAATAATTATGAACTGAAACATATTTATTGTCAACACTTTTACATAGGCTAAATTTTGGAGCTCCATTCAGTGAGGAATTGGAATCAAAGAATTAAAAGTGATTTTGAATTCCAGCCAATGATCGTATTCACCTTTAAATATTGGTAATTTAATTTTAGGTAAAATTGCATTCTATAATGTATCGCCTTGTACATTAAGATTTGAAATTCGACCTGTTGTCTCTTTGACATTATCACATTTTCAAAGAATGAAAAGATAAAAAATTAATGAAAACCACTTGTTACCAAAACTAAATTGAAAAATATTATTTTTGTTTTTCAGGAATCAGTCCCTCCAGAACCTTGGAAGGGTGTGTGGCAAGCGAAAACAAAATTCAAGTGTATGCAATATGATCATTTTACTCCCCCTGGATCTGACATGGTCTCCGGTAATTCTATTACTCATTTATTTCATTTACAATCTGAAGTGTTAACAACTGAGTTATAGAGTTATATGCAGCTTGTGTAATAAGGAAACACTTCAATTCCATAGAGTGATTTCTTGTCATAATTTATGCAATTTTATTCACATATATGTTCTAACTTGCTTCTTTTTCAAGAAAAATGGTATCGAAGTTTTGATAAAAAATAGTTTTTTGTCAATTACTCAGACATCTTTTCGATAATTTCAATTAATCTAGGACAAATACTGCTTCCACTCATTAGACTTGTTAATACGCCATCCAAGTCAACGTCATCAGGAATCGATGAGATAACTGAGATAAATAGGCCAACACTTCTACTTCTTTTTCTTCACTGATGATGAAGTTATTGCCATTTTATTCTGGTTCATTTCGCAATTTTCTTTCCAGTTTTGAAAAATAATGCCGAGGTGGGATGGCGACGATTAGGGAACCTCTTAGCATAAATTCGAGCTGCATCAGTTACATTCTTTTTTGTTTCTCCGTAAATTAGCAACATGTTAATTTTCTCGTTTCTAGTATAATTTGCCATATCTAATTATAAACTACACAACAAATACATTTTTAAATGTAACAGCATATTCATTAGCCCATTTGTTTAGGTAGCCCTAGTTGTTTGTCACGGATAATTAGAATAACAGGACTCATTATAGTGCATAAATATACCGAATACGTATATTTGTTATTAGGTATGATCATTTCTTGCAATTATTCAGAAAAATAGAGAAAATAAAGTGAAAGTGTGTGGCATCAAATTAGTCATAACAAAATGATCTTTCACAAATACCGACGAACTACCGCTTTTCCATTTGAAAAAATCAAGTTGACTGGAAAAATGCATATTTGCGACTGTGAAATAATTCTTAAAACGACTGTAAAGTCATAAGCCTCAAAGTTGTAGTTTTCCCATGTTACTTTATCGAGAATGAAGCGATTTGAACTAGCCATGGCATTCTTGATCAAAAAATAAAAATTGAAATAAAAATTATTTTATTTGTGGAATATTGACAAGTGAAGTATTGTTGGATTTAGAATGTCATTCTTGATCAAAATAAGTCAAAATATATAGGATGTCCCATTTAAAAATCGAAAGTCATTTCCGGTCAAACTGGAAGTACGGCAAAGCAAGTAAATATGCCAAAAAATGTAAATCACTCCCAAATTTCGTTTTTCTATCTCCAATAATAAAAAAAGTATAGGAGTGAGCCACCTTAAAGAATCACCTGGTATATAGGAATGAAGAAATTAGTTTCATTAATATTTTGAGGGTACTAACTGGCTAGCGAAAGGCGTGTCGTGACAAAATGCTCTAGTTCTGGTGTCTGGGAAAAGTGTATTCATTAAAATATTTTTTGAGTAGAACATAATATCCCGATTCCCAAACATTTTTTGTGGAGTGGAAAATAAAAGAAAGTAATGAAATGAAAACAAGAGATGAACATCAACTATTTGAATAATTTTATAAAAAATGAAAGGTAGAAATAACCTGTGGCATAGAAAACGAAAAAAACATTACCCTACACATGAAAGTTAGCTGCGCTTTGTTTTTGGGTTGATTTCAACTAGTCACTTAGCAGTGAATGGTGCTGTGAAAGTCATAGGACCAATATTATTCGGTGGTTGATATGAGAACTTGACTTTACAACTTACCGCTTGGAGAATCTCGATATTTGTGATATTTGAGGATTATCTTCTGTCAATCCCCCTAGATGGCGTCTTCGTAACGTGAGATATCACAATGAGGGCCAGCATCCGCGAGGGCTTTGGAGGGCGAAAGGTCAAGACGACAGTTCAAAATTCAATTGCCTGAGAGGCGGATGTATGATTTTGGCTTGTTTTCGAAATTTTAAGTTACTTTTTCGAGATTTGGCACATAAATTAGGAGTTAATAACATGCCCTCTAATATATCGGGACGTCTTTGATCCGTGAGTAGGTCCGATCATAAATTTTCAAATGATAAACATATCCTTTCCAAATGGCGAGTTGGCAAAGAAATCTGGCTGAGAAGAGAAACATTTAATGAATGAAATATGAAAAATATGATGAAATGAAAAAAGAAATAATACTTGAAAAATCAGACAAAAAATGGAATTTAAAAAATACCATTTACCTTCATTTTTATATTTATTTATTGTTTACTGTTTTCAACTAGGTAGCTCATCAGAATATTTCGGTCCTGCTATATTTCATTTTCATAACATTTCATTCACACATTCTTTATTTCTAGTTCCCGTAGATTCAAAAAATGGTAGCACATTCACAACTATTTCTGTTGGCATGAATTTTCATGGTTGCCCTCATTGCAGTTCTTTATACTCAATGTACCTTCTCCAGGTAGAATCCGTTGGAATGTATGAATCACTAGATGAACTTGTAAAAGTTTATTCTCTACATTGAAAGTTCTTTTGTATCAACTAGATTTCTTTTTGATACAATTAAAGTTTATATAATTAAAGAAGATTATTCCGTTTGTTTTTCAATTTCTAAAGAGATTCAAAACGAAAATAGAAATAGGAAGTACCTACATTTATTAATTTTCACTCTTTTGGTTAGACAATTTGTTAATTGTCAAATTGACTCGGCTGTCACTTGATGAAAATCCAAAGTAATTTCACAAAGTGGATAACATATATGTTATTCAAATTGAAAGGGTTATATTTTTGGGAGTGATTAATTTTTGGGAAAGAAAGTTTTTGGCTTTCTACTACTCCATCTGATACAAAAAAAGGGATGAGAGAATCTTCCAAAGAAAGGAAGGAAGTAATCAATTTGAAAATAAGTAACTCTATACATGGATGTGTAGATCATGCAAAAAAGTAACTTTCAGATGGAGTAATAGAAAGCCAAAAAATTTCTGTCCCAAAAATTAATCACTCCTAAAAATATAACCCTTTCAATTCAAATAAGATTCCTCTTGGCTGGGATTAAATCAAATAGGTGAATGGATGTCATTACGATGTCATCGATGACATAAGCAGATTAAGCTTATTCCGTGACATTCAAAATCGTAATTCATGAATGAAGTGTTTGTATTTTCTATTATGTTATCCAATTTGGTACTGAAGAGCCTTAGGGCAAGTGTCTTAAGGCGAAACTTCGGTGTATACCAGTGAGGGTGACAGTGTTCCATGTGAGTACAATTTATTACCATTCATCCAAAGTAGAACTCATGTGAATGATATCTGATTCTTATTCCTCAACAAATGGTTGATATACAAACTGAGTAGAGAAAAGTATCTTCTGTATAATTCAGTGTTCATATAGAAGTATTTGTTTCGAAAGAATTTTTTTCTTTCGTGTAATTCAATGTTTATATGAAAGTAGCTGTTTCAGGAGGACTTTCTTTCAGTTTGTGTCTGAAAGTTACTTTTTTGCATGATCTACACATCCATGTATAGAGTTACTTATTTTCAAATTGATTACTTCCTTCCTTTCTTTGGAAGATTCTCTCATCCCATTTTTTGTATCAGATGGAGTAGTAGAAAGGCAAAAAATTTCTTTTCCAAAAAATATGTCATTCACTTCGAAATAGCTACTGTGATAGCAAAACATATCATGATATTTTTGAAAATAAAGTGTAGTGTAGTTCGGGAAATTTTGTTAATTAATTTAAATCATATACATAGTACTTATGATGCACTGGTTGGAACCTTTGGTATAGTTATGAATATTACTGGAGTTTAGTCCCAACACCAAACCGTTATTTCAACACCTCGACACGTGTTTCGATCACCAAGTGATTATCTTCAAGAGGAAGATTAATCTTCCTTACTTGCCCATTGAAACACGTGTCGAGGTGTTAAAAATAACGGTTTGGTGTTGGGATTAAACTCCAGTAAAAAATTTTATACATGATGTTTATTCAAGTTGATTGTCCAGTTTAAAATGAGCGACCAGTTGAAAATTTGAAAGAATTTAGGCAGAATTGAGGTAGTTTTTTTATACTAGTCCCAAGAAATTTCAAAAGGAGGTAAGTGTCCGAACATTTTTTTCAAAGGGTTTTTTTAAAGCTTAAAATCTAATGAATATCAAGTTCATGATATTTGAAATATAATTTACAGCCGCGCCTACCTGAAGTGAAGGCAACATGCCAACTCATTACTCAAGTAGGTACCTAGATAAGAGGGTTGATAAATTATCAGATATCATGGCATATTTATGAAAATTCACTTACCAAATACATTAATCTATATTTTTAAAAAGAGGAAATCACATACTACTTAAATATTGACTTGGTACCATATTTTTTTGCGATCAAATCATGTAGCGCCCTTGAATATCTCCTGATGGACCGCCCCGGGTTCAGTAAATAGCATGGACTTAAAATATGAAGTTGATGGGTAGGTTTTATTTAATACTTTTTCAAATGATTATTCTCGAACTTGCTGTGAAACAGAAAAATTTGAGGTAAAATCCAGTGTATGACATATTTTGTGTTGAAGTTGATTTGTCGGACACCTGTTCAATGATTACGTTCAGAAGACTCCCTATTAACGAAAAGAAGAATAAACATGAAAACCACTATGAGTGGTACTAACTTCGTGAGCGAAACGCGCGTCGAGAGACAGTATTTTATTGTGGTGAGGGAGAACTGTTTTCAATAGATGATCATTTATACTTATAAATGTATGTGTTTATATGTATTTTTTGCTCTTTCGTTTGAGTATTCTTTCGGTGTTTGTTGAAATTAAATTTTAATAACATATCTCATGAAGAAAACCGTATGGTTATGACACTATTATTTTATTATTTCTAGGAGATGAAGATTGTTTATACCTCAATGTGTACACCCCCAGTCTCAAGCATTCGGAAGCTTTGGATGTTCTTGTTTATATTCATGGAGGAGCATTCATGTTTAATTATGGTGCATTATATGGCCCTCAGATAATCTTGGATAGAGATGTGGTATATGTGAGCATTAATTATCGTTTAGGACCGTTAGGTGAGATTTTAATACTATCAAATGTTAATGAATTATTACAAAATTCATTCAGGTTTCTTGAGTACAGAAGATAGCGTAGTTTCTGGAAATAATGGGATGAAAGACCAGATTCTAGCCCTGAAATGGGTAAAATCCCATATCAAGAATTTTGGGGGAAATCCTAACTCCGTTACTATATCAGGAATGTCAGCCGGTGGAGCTAGTGTGCAACTACATTATCTATCTCCAAAATCAAAAGGTTGGTAAAAATGTCCCCATCAGCATTCAGTGAAAAAATGGAATATTGACTAAAGAGTATGATTACTAGTCACTTTACGAAATCGAAACTTTATCAGTTATTCAAATTTTTTCATGTTTGTATGATGAACAGTTATTTTACAAAAATGAAACAGTATCTGGTTCTGTATTCAACTAACACTATGCATTAACATAACAAAAATGAAATGGACTAAAAATGCCTGAATTTCATCTTCAAATTATAGGATTGAACTCTGCATCATAAAGGAAAAGGATATATTACCTGAAAAGAAAATGGTTGTCGCTTCATCGCCAAAATCAACTTGTTTTTCAAAAAATTAAAATATTCTCAAAATAATTCCTCATCAAGCAAAGCTGAATCACAACATTTCGGTATGAAATTCAAAAATGTTCAGTCCACTATACTTCTACTAACATCAAAAGTGGGACTCACTGCATATACAACTATTCACAATCGAATCTATGCATGTGGCTCTTAAAATTACATGTTTCGCTTTATCTTATTCAATAATATAGCTGCAAGAGTTCTGGCTCATTCATTATGGAAAAACACGTGCAAATTTGGGCAGGTCCATTCTGGTGATTTTCGGACCTTAGGCCCAATTTACACTGAATTGACGACTCGTCTCTGTCAGACGTCTATTCTGTGTGAATTGGGCCTTAAACCTTCAAAGTTCACTTCAGATCACCCCCACTTCTCCAGTTTTGCCGTCATCCAGTCCACCAATCAGAAGCTATCGCACGTACAGCGGGAAATCCAAATCAGCAGATGAACACAGTGGTCATCGGCAGCTGAGGGAAATCACATTTAAAACATCGATCGGTATAAGAATTGAACCCAGGCCAGAACGTTGTCCTTAGCCTCGACACCAACGTGAGATCTTGCAAGTAATTGAGAATTATTGATATTTATGGCGGTTGTTTTGTGGGCTGTTATCGACGTGATGAACGAAAAATTAGATTGAAGAAAAAAATGACGGTGGAAATTCAGTGGAGTCTTCAGGGCGTTTCAAAATACATCAAGAAAAAAAATGGCGTCAATGTGTGGCAAAATACATTATTTAAAATAAAAACATGACAGTTTAACGTTTCAACGTGCAATCCCTCAATGTGTACACGGTGTCTCAAAATACATCAAGAAAAAAACATGGCGGCAATATAACGGGCATTAAGTGGAGTATACAGAGTGCGTCAAAATATATCATTAAAGAAAAATGATGATAGTTTAACGATGCTGTAATGTTTCAACTTGCGATCCCTCAATGTGTGTACAGGGTGTCTCAAAAATACATCATTTTAAATAACATGTAGGTTCAACGGGAGTGTAGCGTTTCAACGTGCGATCCCAATGAGAAATGTTAATATATTCAAAGTGTTGGGAAGTTACATATTGTGGATTTAACCTTCGATAATGGTGCAAAAGGGGAATCAAAGTATTTGGTAATTACATTTCAAAATACATTATTTTGCGTGGGTTTATTCTTAATCGTTTCTTCGTTATCGATCATTATTAGCGAATATACAACTCAGTGCCCTTCTGACATGTTCTCCCATCTTTGTTTTTCACAAATCATTCTGCCACGCCATCACCAACGATCACGCCGGCGATCACCATCATTATTATTATTATCTTATTATTATTATTCGACCCTCATTATCGAGTTCAATCATCCAGTCGATATTGGTTCCCCCTTCTGAGTGGCTGACCGACACCACTTTGTAGCATGAGTTAGGCTGAGTGTTACTCAAGGTTCCGTTCAGGGGTCCGAAAATTTGTAAAATGAACCTTCATGCGACAATGCATGGATTTTAGTCATCTCCGGATGATATTCACTTGGTCAGCGGAACGCGTTGAATGACAGATGACTGTCATATTGAAACACCAAAAAACGACAATGACGACTAAATGATAACGATAAACGCACGTAAAACAACATATTTTGAAATGTAATTACCGAATACTTGACTTACCCCCTTGCACTATTTTTGAACGTTAACTCCGCAACACGTAAGTCCCCGACACTTTTGAATATATTTACGTTTCTCATGGGTATCGCATGTTGAAACGCAATACTCCCGTTAAACCGACATGTGTTTTAATGATGTATTTTGAGACACCCTTTACACACATTGAGGGATCGCACGTTGAAACATTACAGCCTCGTTAAAATGTCATGTTTTTTTTGAATGATGTATTTTGAGACACCCTTTACACACATTGAGGGATCGCACGTTGAAACATTACAGCCTCGTTAAAATGTCATGTTTTTTTTGAATGATGTATTTTGAGACACTCTGTACACATTGATGAATCGCACTTTGAAACGTTAAACTGTCATGTTTATATCTTAAATGATATATTTTGTCACATATTGACGCCATGTTTTTTCTTGATATCATCTTGATGAAAAAAAATATTTTACGCTGGAGAAAGCTATTTGTATTGCGAAACACGTGCCGCGGTTTTTGTAAAACCCTTTATAGTGAAAATCATACAATAAACTGTATTAATATTTTTTTTCTGTTGTTATTTGTCGTTATTCATGATTCGGCGTTAAATATGAAAATAAAATACTGTAGTTTGTTATGAAAAGTTATTCCCAGTTTTCCATTTTGCTTATTTTTCAACTTATCTGCAACTGGGTATGGGACCAGCGGAAAAAAAATAATGATATTTTTGTCCTGATGATTGGTTTGTGGACTCGGGTGTCTCGGTGCATCTCACTGGACGTTCAGATTGGCTAATAAACGTCAAATAACAGAAATTGGTGAAATTTATGTGTTACTTGATAATGATGGTCAAACTTTAAAACCTCCAATAAGAGAAGTTAGGTATGCACCTGGATTGAAGTCTATTTTGATTTATTGTAAACAACTGTAAAGAAAAGATATAACAACCACAAGATGCAAAATTAGAACGAAGAAAAGTAAAAAATGAATAGCAATTGCTATGTCAAAAGATGGTGACCTCTACAGATTGAATACTGCAAAAAAACTGTACTCTGTACAATCAAATACGATTCGTATGAATTATGGCATCGTCGACTTGGGCATATGAAGGTATGAAACGACTCCAAAATATGGCTGATGGAAAAGCATTCACTGCTGCGACTTCAAATAGATTTTACAAGCAATGTTGCCAAGATCAACAGTATCCTAATACTTCCCGAAATATTCAGTAACAAGGGCAACAAATAAATTGGAAGTTTCCTTAAGTGAAGACGTTAAATCATCACATTCATATACGTTTACTTTTTGAAAAATAAACCGGAAGTTTTCGAGAAGTTGAGAGACTTCAAATTTAAAGTTGAAAATGAATCTTCGTATAAAATCAAATGTCATCATACAGGTAACGCGAAATGATAAATGAGTCACTTTATGAAATAATTTTTAATTGAAAATGGAATATTGCATCAAATGACTATCGAATATACAACTCAGCAAAACGAAGTAGCTGAAAGAATTAACAGAAGAGAAAGCTCTAAGATATTTGGACAGAAGCATTGAACACCGCGTGCTATTTAAAAACAGAGGTCGTAGGTACTATTGCTTTGAGACAAAAATATGGAAGAAGCTTGGACTGGTATAAATCCTGATTTGAAACATTCAGGACTTTTTGGGTATGTATCACATATGCACATTCCAAAGGAAAAACGTAGAAAGTGGACTTTCAAATCAAAAGAATTGATTTCCTTAGGATACTGCAATAATTTGAAAGACTACATAAAAATAATATGAGAATTCAATGTTTTTAAGTTGGGTCAATGATATTATGAATAGAAGAACGATCGTTAACTAATATCCATTACTGATTTGAAACATTCAGGACTTTCGTGTGTATAACGTATGCACATTTCAAATGAAAAACATAAAAAGTGGAATTTCAAATCGAAAGAATTTATTTTCTAAGGATACTGCAATAATTTGAAAGGCTACATAAAACATGATATAAGACATTCAATGTTTTTAAGTTGTGTCAATGATATTGTGAATAGAGGAACGACAATTAACTAATATCGCTTACCTGTGCTTTTTCTCGAATATAAACTTTATAGTTACAACTTTATAGTTTTGGTGATAAGTAAGTGGATATCTTTTGTCCTATGTAGAATACTGATTCTACACTGAACAATCGCTTTGTCTGTGATCAATCCTTTCGAAATATTTTTGTTCTGATAAGTGAAAACTAATATTGTCAAGTCGTACATTTGTCTTATGTCTAGCACTTTCAGCCCATCGAATAAAACATCGGGACAGACTCGTGTGCGACGAAATTATATAGTAATGATTTTATTTTATTTCTCATTTTTGCCACGTGAACACTCCACCTCAAAAACGAATATAAATAAATTTCAATATTATTTTGAGCTGAGGAATATATTCACATTCTCATTAGTTATATTAATATTGTTATAGGTTGGTGAATAATTTTTGTATAATGTGAAAGGAATAACTATAGTTTTTTCAACATTAACTGTTGCTAAATTAGAGTTGAATCAGTTGGTTATGTAAAGGATGTAATTCGAATCCTTCTCTGCAATTTCTTTCACTGCATTCCAGGAATTTCAGGTATATAAAATAACGGTTCCATCAGCGAAGAAAATAAGTAGCGCTGGTAAATTATCAAGAAGTCACCATATTGTCTCTCAGAAGTAATATTGAACTTTTTGAGGTATATAGGTATAGTACTAGCCAGTTCTTCATAACTTTTTGAGAAAGTTCAGAAAAGACACTTGTCAATGATATTGGTCTGCAGCTGTACATATATGTTTTATTCCCCCCACTTCTTCGAAAGTTTTCAGTTGAACACCTTGTTTCACGCATATTTTGAAAATATAACAGAGTATTCTTTGAAAGACATTTTTTTTGTGAAGGATTCAATACTTCTGTTTTTTGGTGTATAATCATCCACAATTTGAAAAATTAACAGAGTTAAGTCAATAGAGAATCTGCTGAAGTGTAATAAAGGGCAAACTGAAA